TCTCTTTCTTTTCCCATTTTCCCCCTAAATGTGCTTTTTATCTCTTTCTTTTCCCATTTTCCCCCTAAATGTGATTTTTTTCTCTTTCTTTTCCCATTTTTCCCCCTAAATGTGATTTTTTCTCTTTCTTTTCCCATTTCTCCCCTGAATGTGACTTTTCTTTTTCTTTTCTCATTTTCCCCAAATGTGATTTTTTCCTTTTTCTTTTCCCATTTTTTCCCCATTTTTCCCCCCAAATGGGGTTTTTCCTCTATCTTTTTCCATTTCCCTCCCATAATGTGATTTTTCCTTTTTCTCTTTTCCCCATTCTTCGTCCTTAAATTTGATTTTCGCCCATTTCCCCCCATTTTTGACCCTTAAATGTGACTTTTTATCTTTATTTTTCCCAATTTCCCCCCTAAATTCCATTTTTTTCTCTTCCTTTTCCCCATTTTTCTCCTTCAATTTGATTTTTTTCCTCCTTTTTTCCCTGCTTTTCCCACACCCTGCCCTGCTCGTGCTTTTTGGGGAATTCTGGGCCAAATTCCAGCTGATTTTTTTTTGGAATTTCACCGTTTTTAACCCTTTTTTTCCCAGGGTTGAGCCAATCCATCAGCCTGGAGCTCCCCGAGGTCCAACGTCTCTCCCTCCTTCTCCTCGCCAGCTTCCAGGTAAATTCACCCAAAATCCTGGAATTTACCCAAAATCCTGGGAATTTTTTAGTTCTTCCAGGGCTTGAGCAGCTCCTGAAAATCCTAAAATTAACCAAAATCTTGGCATTCACCCAAAATCCTGGAATTTCTGAGAATTTTCAGGGATGGAGCCGCTCCTAAAAATCCTAAAATTGACCCAAAATCCTGGAATTTACCCAAATCCTGGGAATTTTGGCCATTTCCAGGGATGGGGAAAATCCTTAAAATCCTAAAATTGGCTCAAAGTTCTGGGAATTGACCCCAAATCCTGGAATTTACCAAAAATTTGGGAAATTGGTGCATTCCCAAGGATGGAGCAGCTCTTAAAAATGTTAAATTTACCCAAAATCTTGGGAATTCTCCCAAGTCCTGGAATATTTGGGCCCTTGCAGAGCTGGAAGAGCTCCTAAAAATCATAAAGTTCACGGAAAACATGGAATTACCTCAAAAATCTTGGAATTTACCCAAATCCTGGAATTTTCCCCCTAAAAAAATCTTTGGATTCCTTTCCCTGACTCCTCAAACACAAAAAAGAAAGGAATTTGGGCTCCAAATCTTAGTTTTAAGCCCCAGAAAGTTGGGATAAAAGCTGATTTTTTTCCATTTTTTAGTGGATAATTCCCTTTTTTCCCCATTTTTCCCTTTGTTGTTGGATTTTTCCCATTTTTTGTTAGATTTTTCCAATTTTTTTCCCCATTTTTGGTTGGATTTTCCTTTTTTCCCCCATTTTTATTGGATTTTCCCATTTTTCCCCACTTTTTGTTGGGTTTTTCCCATTTTTTCCCTTTTTTCCTAATTTTTGTTGGAATATTTCCCATTTTCCCCATTTTTTGTTGGATTTTCCCCATTTTCCCCCATTTTTGTTGGATTTTTCTCTTTATTTTCCCTTTTATTATTTTTTTTTTTTATCTTTCCCATTTTTTATTGGATTTTCCCATTTTCCCCCACTTTTTGTTGGGTTTTTCCCATTTTTTTCCCTTTTTTCCCATTTTTCCCATTTTTCCCATTTTTTGTTGGAGTATTTCCCATTTCCCCACATTTCTTATTGGATTTTTCCCATTTTTTCCCTTTTTCCCCTCAGTTTTCTGCCCGGAAGTTGCAGCAGGTCCTGGAGGAATCCGAGGGCTTCGACCCCGAGGCTTTCGCTGCCAAAGGTTGGGAAATCCCCAAAATTTGGGATTTTTTTCCCCTCAAAATCCCAAGTTTCCAATTCCCCAAAGGGGTGGAGACCTCAAAAATTTGGGTTTTTTGGGGGAAAAAGCAGCAGAATTAATTAAGAATTAATTGGGAATTAATTTTTGGTTGGGGGGGGTCCTGAGGGATTCCTGGGTTTTCCCAAAAAAAAAAAAAAAAATTGGGAATTTGGGTAAAAAAAATCCAAGAAAAATGACCAGAAATAGAGGAGATGATAGCTAAATTCCTTTTAAAATAGAGGATTAATTAATAGTTAATTCATGATTAATTAATTATTAATTGGGGGAGGATGAAAAATGGTCCTGAGGGATTCCTGGGTCTTTCTGATTCCCAGAAAAATCAGGAATTTCAGGGGAAAAAAAGGGGGGAACAGGAGAAAATAATGGAATTAATGAATGATAATTAATAATTAATCAATAATTAATTGGGGAAAGGTCATAGCAGCTCCTTGAGGTTCTTGATTCCCAAAAAAATTTGGGAGTTTGGGTAAAAATAATCAGGAAAACCACCAGAAATCCCTAAATTCTATCTGAAAAATCAACAATTAATTAAGAATTAATAAATAATTAATTCCAGGGCGGTTTCTAATCTCACTTTTTCCCGTTTTCCCCCCTTTTTTTCCCATTTTTTCCCCAGTCCAGAAGGGCTCTGAGGAATTCCAGAGGCTCCTCCAGAGGCTGATCCAGGATGGGACCCTCGGGAATTGCCTGGAACCGACCCCGGGGTGAGAATTTGGGGCAAAATCCCCAAAATTTGGGAATTTCCAGGCTGAGAAATGAAAAATTCATGGAAGTAAAAAGAAAAATTGGGAATTTCCAGGCAGGAAGGGGAAAAAATTATGGAAATCTGAAAAAAAAAGGGAATTTGCAGAATGGAAAATGGAAAAATTCATGGAAATCTGAAAAAAAATTGGGAATTTCCAGGATGGTAAAGGGAAAAAAGTTATGGAAATCCCCAAAAATTTGGAATTTGCTGACTAGGAAGGGGAAAAATTTATGGGGAAAAAAAAAATTTGGAATTTCCAGGCTGGGAGAGGGAAAAATGTAGGGAAATCCCCAAAAATTGGGAATTTCCACCCTGGGAATGAAAAAAAACCATCATGGAAATAAAAAAAAATTGGGCATTTGCAGGCTGGAAGGGGAAAAATTTATGGAAATCTGAAAAAATTGGGACTTTCCAGGCTGGGAAGGGGAAAAATTTAGGAAATAAAAATTTGGGAATTTTCACTGGATATACCCCAAAATTTGGGAATTTTTGGGAGTTTTTCACTGGATCTTCATCAAGATTTGGGAGAATTTTCACTGGATTTGCCCCAAAATTTGGGAATTCTGAGGAATTTTTCACCAAATTTGTCGGAAATCTTTCGGTGTTTTTTGGGACTTTTCGCTGGATTTGCCCCAAAATTTGGGACAAATTTTTGTGAATTCATGCCAGATTTGCCCTAAAATTTGGGAATTTTTGGGGAATTTTGGGCCCTTTCCCACAGGGATTCCCTGGATCCGGCCCTGGAGGAATCCGTGGCTCAGGTGAAGCAGCTGATGGCCAGGTGGGGACACCTGGGGACATTTTTGGGACACTTGGGGACACTTGGGGACACCTGGGACACACCTGGGGACATTGGGAAGACACCTGGGACACCTGGGGGACACTTTGGGCACACCTGGGACACACCTGGGGACACCTTGGGGATACCTGGGGACACCTGGGGACATTGGGAAGACACCTGGGACACACCTGAGGACACCTGGGACAGCTTGGGGACACTTTTGGGACACCTGGGCACACCTGAGACACAGCTGGGGACATTGGGGACACACCTGGGGACACCTGGGGGACACCGGGAACACCTGGGCATACTTGGGGACAGCTGGGACACACCTGGGACACCTGGGGACACCTTGGGAATACCTGGGGACAGCTGGGACACACCTAGGACACCTGGGGGGACACCTGGGCACACCTGAGACACACCTGGGAAACACTTGGGGACACCTTGGGGACACCTGGGACACACCTGGGGACACCTGGGACACACCTGGGGACAGCTGGGGACATTGGGAAGACACCTGGGATACACCTGGGGACACCTGGGACAGCTTGGGGACACTTTGGGCACACCTGGGACACACCTGGGGACACCTGGAACATTGGGGACACACCTGGGCACCCCTGGGGGGTACCTGGGGGACAGCTGGGGACACTGGGAACACCTGGGGGCACCTGGAATGGGAAGGGGACACCTGGGACACACATGGGGACACTTTGGGCACACCTGGGGACACCTGGAATGGGAAGGGGACACCTGGGACACACATGGGGACATCTTGGGGACACTTTGGGCACACCTGGGGACACCTGGGGACACCTGGAACATTGGGGACACATCTGGGCACACCTGGGGACACACCTGGGGATACTGAGAATGAACTTGGGGACACCTGTCCCCACCTGTCCCTCACCTGTCTGTGTCTCACCTGTCCCACCTGTCCCACCTGTCCATGTCTCACCTGTCCGTGTCTCACCTGTCCCACCTCTCTGTGTCTCATCTGTCCCACCTGTCCGTGTCTCACCTGTCCATGTCCCACCTGTGTCTCACCTGTCCCACCTGTCCATGTCTCACCTGTCTGTGTCTCACCTGTCCGTGTCTCACCTGTCCATGTCTCACCTGTCTGTGTCTCACCTGTCCATGTCTCACCTGTCCATGTCTCACCTGTCCGTGTCTCACCTGTCCATGTCTCACCTGTCCATGTCTCACCTGTCCATGTCTCACCTGTCTGTGTCTCACCTGTCTCACCTGTCCGTGTCTCACCTGTCCCAGCTGTCCATGTCCCACCTGTCCATGTCCCACCTGTCCGTGTCTCACCTGTCCATGTCTCACCTGTCCCACCTGTCCATGTCCCACCTGTCTGTGTCTCACCTGTCCATGTCTCACCTGTCCCACCTGTCCATGTCCCACCTGTCCCACCTGTCCATGTCTCACCTGTCCATGTCTCACCTGTCCGTGTCTCACCTGTCCCACCTGTCCCCTCCCCCTCAGCCTCTCCGGGGAGCTCCAGGCCTGGGATCGGCTCCTGCAGCAGCACCTGCAGCACTCCCAGGAGGCCTCCAGGTGAGAATTCCCCCATTTCTCCCCAAAACTCCCACATTTCTCCCCAAAATTCCCACTTCTATCCCCAAATTCCCACTTATCCCCAAATTCCTGCTTTTCTCCCCAAAATCCCCACATTGATTCCCCAAAATTCCCACATTTATCCCCAAATTTATCTCCAAAATTCATATTGATCCCCAAATTCCCACTTTTATCCCCAAAATCCCCACATTGATCCCCAAAATTCCCACATTTATCCCCAAATTCACACATTTATCCCCAAAATCCCCACATTGATCCCCAAAATTCCCACATTTATCCCCAAATTCCCACTTTTATCCCCAAAATCCCCACATTGATCCCCAAAATTCCCACATTGATCCTCAAAATTTCCACTTTTCTCCCCAAAATTCCCACATTTATCTCCAAAATTCCCTCTTTGATCCCCAAAATCCCCAAATTTATCCCCAGAATTCCCAAATTTACCACCAAAATTCCCATTTGTTTCCCACTCCAACCCCAAAATTCCCAAATTTACCCCCAAAATTCCCCCATTTATCCCCAAAATTCCCAAATTTACCCCCAAAATTCCCCCATTTACCCCAAAATTTCCCATTTTCCCTCCACTCCAACCCCAAAATTCCCAAATCCCAAAATTCCCATTTTTTTCCCCCAGGAATCTGGAGCAGCTCCGTGCCGGGAATCCTCCCTGGGCTCCTCCCGCAATTCCCAAAAATTCCCAAATTTTGGCGTCCAAACCCGACTACGGCGCCATCCTGGCCCAGCAGGGCCCGGCCCTGCCGGCCCTGCAGCTCCTGGTGAGGATTTTGGGGCGAAAAAACCCGGATTTGGGAATTTTGGGGAATTTCATGGAATTTTGGGGGAATTTCTGGGGATTTTTTGGCGATTTTTTGGGGGCTTTTATGGGAATTTCTGGGGATTTTTTGGG